AGTTAATATATAAAATATTATGAATTTAAGTTAAATATTTATATACTAAGATAAAAAAATATATACATTATGTTGTCTATTTTAGACCAAGCATTGATCTTGGCTCAATGGTTGGGTACGTCTTGGTGGAAAATAAATTAAAATAAACCTAAACACTCTAACCACATGACATTATTTGATTGAAGGATTAAATTTATTTAATTTATTAAAATATAACTAAATTAAGAGAATATGTAAATAACATGGACCAAATGTGTGATTATACCAAAATATCATGTTACCTAATCTGTTAACCGTTAACGACAATTAATCCGTAGTGATCACATCTTAATTAAATAAAAACGAAAGTGATCATATTTTAATTAAATAAAAATGAAAGTGACCATATTATGTTTTTTGAAACCAGTGAGGAAAAATGGACAAAACACAAACATAAGTGATCAATAATATATTTAACCCTATATTTAAAACCATTTTAAATTGAAATTATATCAATCAACAATCGGTTAGTTTGTTAGGATGAGACACTAGATCCTTTAAATAAAATTAATAAATTAAGTTGAGAGAATTATTCGATCTACATTAATCGAGTTATACATGTTATCAATGTGAATGTAGTTCGAAACTGTCATTAATAAATCAAAAATTGAGTGCTAGGAAAAACAACGATTCCTTTAACCACTGAGGTAAGTGGGTTCATACTTATTTTTATTTATTTTTAAGTAACTTTTGAGAGTTAATATTTTATAGAAGGATTTAAATACTACTATCCGGTCTAATTTTAATACTTATTTTTCAATTTTTGATTACATTACGTGTCATCATTTTAACATTACGAATCTAAAATTTTCACTCACAATATATCTCCATTAAACTAAGCTCAAAACAGTCCACTTTTGTGATCACTGTTCCCAAATAAAGTTAATTATCCTAATAGCAACGTTGCCTTGTAGCATGTTAAGTGGAATTTGAAAAGAGGGGTGGGGGTGGGGGTGGGAATAGACTAAAACAAAGTGGATTTATACGTTATCAAATTCATCAAACACTTTGTTTTAGAAAGAAAAGTATGATCCATGGGAGAAATGAAGTCCATGTGCGGCTTTGAAATCTTTGAGAAGTTGCATTCTCATCGTCTCCAACATAGTGAATGATAGTGAGAGCCTTAATTAAAGTTTAAGTAGTTAAGTGTCACATATAAGTAAGGCACAATCGATATTTAATTCACTATCAACTAATTTCAAGGGAATACATACAAAAACTTATCATAAGGATGACATTTTTAATTTAATCTTTTTTTAGACATGAGAATATGAACCATTAATATTGTTTAAAGGTCGAACTGACTTATCTCACTAAATCAACTAGTAGTCGGTGGTAGTTGAACAAAATGAAAAAGAATACCAGTTAAGAACTGGGGAATTTTTTTTTAAATTTAAAAGGCTAAAGTATATTGGAGATCACTTAACTACGTTCAAATATTTTTTTTGCTATTACACTTTCAAAAAGTTATAAATTGATCATTAAATTTATCAAATTGTTACAAATTGGCTATGAAATTTAGGGTAAATTACATGTTTAGTACCTAACTATCAATTTTGGTTCGTTTTAGTACCTAAACTTAACTACGTTCAATTTTTTCTTCAAAAAACATACCTAACGATTAGTTTTTGTTTCATTTTAGTAGCTTGTAGTTAAGAATTTAACTGAACTGCATTTTTTATGGGTAAACTACATCATTCATTACTCAACTATATTCTTACTCCTATTTTGGTACTAAAGTTTAAAAAATTTCAATTTAACTACTCAACTTTCAAATTGCTCCTATTTTAACCAGTCTAGTTTATTTTATTAGTAATTTGTGACATACCATTTATTATTATGATTTTTATTAATATATAATTAAAAATAAAAAAAACAAATTTAAAAGTTAGAGTGATTAAATTATGGGTAATTTGAAAGTTAAGTAATTAAATTAAAAAATTAAACTTTAGTGACTAAAATAGGAGTGAGAAGATAGTTGAGTGATAAATGATGCAATTTACCCATAAATATGTATCACGAGTAAATCACCTGTTAAGTTTTTAAGGCAGGGTACTAAAATGAAAAAAAAAACTAAATATTAGGTATGATTTTGAAAAAATTGGAAGTTTAGGTACTAAAACGGACCAAAGCTGATAGTTTAGGTACAAAATGCATAATTTACCCTTAAATTTATTAAAAAATTATTATTATAACATTATGATTATTATTAGAGAAAATAACCTCAGTGATCAAAAATGCCTTATAATATACGATTTTAACCAACTTTTTTTGGATTTGCCAAAATGACCAACTAAATCGCAATGCGATCGATAATTCGCAACGCGATCTCCGGTATCGCAAATCAGTTTCCATATTCGCAACGCTAACTTCGACTATCGCATTGCGATTTACATATTCGCATTGCGATAGTCCAAGTTCGCGTTGCGATTTATTCCAAGTTCGTTGCGATAGTCGAAGTTCGCGTTGCGATTTATTCCAAGTTCGCGTTGCGATTTATTCCAAATTCGTTGCGATAGTCGAAGTTCGCGTTGCGATTTATTCCAAGTTCGTTGTGATAGTCCAAAATCGCAACGACGGTATTGCATTTGTTTCTTAAGAATTTTCTCTAAAAAGATAGTATTCGTGCGGACGTATCGAAGACACGTATTACCACGACCATGACCCGACCCGACCCGATCCGAGACGAGACAGACGGCGGCGGCGGCGGCGCGCGAGAGTCCCCCTTGTTCTCTATCACTCAACAAGGAAGTGGGAAAGCCAAGCCTTAAATACCATTCCCAATAGTGTTTCCAATACTATGTGGGATTGAGCATTACCAACACTTGTTCCCAATACTATGTGGGATTGAGCCTTAAATAGTGATATTATTTTTGAATGTTTTGCTTAAAATTGCAATAATCGCGATTGATTGTAGATTGACATTTAATTATGACATATTTAATCGTATAATACTAATGCAATTGGTTGCTGATTCAGTTGTTTTAAGGTGCATGATTGTTAATTGTTTCCTGAATAATCACATTGTATTGGAAACAAGTGTTGGTAATGCTCAATCCCACATAGTATTGGAAACACTATTGGGAATGGTATTTAAGGCTTGGCTTTCCCACTTCCTTGTTGAGTGATAGAGAACAAGGGGGACTCTCGCTCGTCGTCGCCGCCGCCGTCCGTCTCGGGTCGGGTCGGGTCGTGGTCATGGTCGTGGTCGTGGTAATACGTGTCTTCGACACGTCCGCGCGAATACTATCTTTTTAGAGAAAATTCTTAAGAAACAAATGAAATACCACCAGTCGTTGCGATTTTGGACTATCGCAATGCGAACTTGGACTCTCGCAATGCGAATATGTAAATCGCAATGCGATAGTCCAAGTTCGCATTGCGATTGTCGACTATCGCAATGCGATAGTCCAAGTTCGCATTGCGATAGTCGACTATCGCAATGCGATAGTCCAAGTTCGCATTGCGATAGTCGACTATCGCATTGCGATTTACATATTCGCATTGCGATAGTCCAAGTTCGCATTGCGATAGTCAAAGTTCGCGTTGCGAATCTGGAAACTGATTTGCGATACCGGAGATCGCGTTGCGAATTATCGATCGCATTGCGATTTAGTAGGTCATTTTGGCAAATCCAAAAAAAGTTGGTTAAAATCGTATATTATAAGGCATTTTTGGTCACTGAGGTTATTTTCTCTTATTATTATTGTTTTTGGTTGCCTTCCCGGTTCCAAGATTTTCCCTTGACTAATCCAGACCGACCCGTGTCGCAATCCTAGCTTTGGTGATTATGGTTATTATTTTATAACATATCAATAAATATAATGATTATTTTATAACTTTTTAAAAGTTTAATGCTAAAAAACTATTTAAATATAATTTAATAATCTTATACTTATCCTATTTAAAATTGTTGAAACATCAGTTGTCATGTGTACATGTGAGAACTTATATATAGCAAATCTAGATAGCTAGATGTCATTTGTTGTTCTGTTAATAAGAACTAAAACAAATTGTTTTTGTTTCAATGACTATAGTGGCAAACCTTTCGATTAACAAGGACTCTTTCTCTAATTTTAATATGTAGTTTTTTAAATGAGATTTACACAAAATCTGATTGTGGTCTATCAATCACTATTCAATTTGCTCACTTACAATTATATTTTAGGGTAAACTACTCAGTTGACCATTTTACTATTTAGCCCTTTTATTTTTTTCATCGATCTTTCAATTTTGTCAATCATACCACATAACTATTTAATTGTTTCAATCAAATCACTAGTTGTTAACGTTGACAAAAATGATGATGTGGCGGTTAAAAGTCACTACTCAGTTGACCACTTAACTATTTGATTATTTCAATCAAGCCACATAACTATAATTATGCCAATTCCTTTTAACTGGCATGTCATCATTTCCGTCAACTGTTAAAGGCTTAATTGAAAAAATTAAATAGTTATAAGGTATGATTGACAAAATTGAAAGATCGATGATAAAAGTAAAAGGGCTAAATAGTTAAGTGATCAATTGAGTAGTTTACCCTATATTTTATTTAAAATCACACTTCAATTTTCCCACGGCCACGGATGTGTACTTCTTAACTTTAAATTTTATATTTTTACACTAGAATTAAAATTAGGTTGTATTTTTATTAATTATGAAACTTAAAACTAATGTAATTATTTAAAAAAAATTATGTATGAGTTTTAAATTTGTCCCAAAGTTTTTTCCCTCTCCCATATTAATTAAAACGTACTATATAAAATTATTATTTAAAATAAATTTATTATGAACCCTCAAAAGATTTCGATGATGGAATATAATATTATTCTATTTTGGTATTTTGGGTTCAAGCAACAATGTATGTAAGATATATAAGTGTTGTCAATAGTTTTAAATTTTTTGAACAAATACTACATTATAATCAAACAGATTAAAAAATGTTGATTAATAAACTAAATTTACTTAAATCTCAAGGATTTATTGCTTTTAAAGTCTGTAAAACTGGGGCTGTAAGTAAGTTGTTTATCTGGTTGTGTAATCGAAATCTTCTCCATATTATTGATGAATTTGCGTAGATTCTCAATGTACTCGGGGAAAGTTTCCAGGTCGCAGTGGCCTCCACCTTTGATCCATAAAGGATCGTATTTTTCCTTTGAAAGTTCCCATAATCGCTTCCCATGAGACCAATTCACTGTGTCATCATTCGTGCCCTGCAACCATTTGATCCGACATCAAATAATGCATGTCAATGAATCAAAAAAAACTTCACTTCATTTATATATATATATATATATACACTTACATGTATAACAAAAACTGGGCAGTTAACACGCTGGATTTTGTCTATATTCTGCAAACATTTGGAAACAACTTGCTCAATACAAAAACCAGATCATTGAAGATCGCAGAAACATACAGATGGTTTACAGGGAAGGTTAAGATGAAGCTTACTTTGAAGATATCGAACCAGAAGGTCGTCTTGACCGGATATAGGACCCGAACGCCGGAAAGGATGGGACTATGAAGAACAACTCCTCTTAGTTTCTGTAAATGAGGGACCAAATGTAGAGTCGGTCCACTTCCAACAGATTGGCCGTACAATATCAGTTCTTCCTGTTTAACCCCATATTCTTTCTTCAAACAATTGCATACGGCTTCTATGTCGTAATACGTGTTCAGTTCGGATGGCTGTGGAAATTGCAGGTATAAAATTTAGTCCCAGAGGTGTATTGAATATTGATAGATGATATATTCAAACACAAACACAAAGTATGATCCTTGAAATATTTGAATACGAACACGAACACACACAAAAAGACCCCTTTACCTTGCCAGATGATGCTCCATAACCTGAGTAATCATAGCTGCAGGAAAAAAGAAAAGAAAGCAAAGGCAATACAATCACATGATGACAATAATCATAGTCGGAGGATGTGTGGTATATTTAACTCGAAACGAGTCATTTAATATCGAACTAGTAGTGTTAAAACGAACCAAGGTACCTCATAATATTGACACGGAGGTAGGCTCGGAGTTCATTGAAGAGGTCATGCATTTGGCCTAAATCAGCAGCATTGCCATGGGAATACAAGAGGGTGAGCCTGGCATAAGGGTGTTTCCAGAAGGTGGCAGCGATTTTATTACCGCCTTTGGTATCAAGCAGATGGACATTCATGTTCTTGTCGGGAATCACCCCGGTTAAAGCCAGCAGCCCATCTTTCTCCATGTAAACACCGTACGTTGGTGGGTCTGGTGGGAAAAAGGCGAGCTTCGAAGCCATGCTCGACGTCACGTTCCCCATTTTACAATACACCAGACACCACCAAAGGGATAACAAAATCTCTCTTCTTTTCCCGCCACCTTAAAGTTATCAAATTGGACAATGCATACAATGAACATAGAGGGGAGGGCTTCCTTCTTTTTGAATGAATGTTTGGTTTAAAAGCGCGGTTATTGTTATGTTTCCTTAAAATTTGCAAAACACTCCTAGAAATATTTCTAGTCCAGTGATCTTATAAGCAATGGTTGTCTATAATTTTCAGTATTCAAATTGTATAAATATTGGCCCGACTTTATTAACTATATATGAACTTATTACACGACTGGTGGCAAGACAAGGGCCAAGGCCACAGAACAATTATAAAGAGGTTTCTGGCCGAACTATAATGAAAACAGTAACAAGGCCCAAGGCCACCAAAAAAAATTATTTCGTTTCCTTTCTTCGTTTATTCATATATTTCTCTTTCTCTTTCAAATATAATAAAATCAATTGAATTTCATTTTATTATTTCGAATAAAAATTGTTGTTATTTCTTAAAAAGTCAGGTTCGAGTATCAGAAACGGTCAACCTAGACCATTCTTTCTCACGGATGACATTCTGACATTTTTCTTTACTACAAAAAGCAAATTGTTGTATTCTAATTTCTAATGATGAAAAGACCACTTAAGTCCCTTTAAGTTTCAAATTTGTGAAAATTGGTCCCTCTCAAGAAAAGAGGAACAGTTTGGTCTTCGACAAATTTGGAAGTGAACAATTAATCACACGTTTAATGTTTTCCACCAACTCTACATCATTTTAATTGATATGATAACGACTCTAATTTTTAGTATTTATATTTTATGTCAAATTTGGTTTTGGGTTTGATTCCAATTTTTAATATTTATATTTTATGTCGATTCTAATTTTTATCATCATTTTGATTGATATCATTAAGTTTATTTGCTTTTAAAAAAAAACTATGTATCTTAAGTTTAAAATACTTTTATATATAAATTTCAATATATTAATAATTAAATAAATTTAAAAGTTTATTGAATGAATTATTTGTAGTCAAATGATAATTTTAGAAGCTCATTGTGAGAATATGTGTTGACATTTGTACTTTTTTAAATGGGTAAATTATAAATTCAATGACTAAATTTTCATTTTACTCTTATTTCATTCATTACACTTTAAAAAAGTTTTAATTTAATTACTCAATTTTATACATTTAATTTTTTGTTGCTCCATGGTTAACTTTGTAACATTGTGTATGCATGGGAGTCGTTAGGGTTGGCGGGATTTCTTGGTTCGGTTGGCTCCTTCATTTGTACGTCTCATTTGCATTGGTTTGAAACCGTGGCTTCTATTCTGGATATAGATAGATTCGCCGAATTTTTATTTTTTTTATGGAATATATGGTATAGGCGTAATACTAAGGTTCATGATGCTAAATATCAACCCCATGGATTGTGGCCCTTAACGCTCTTTCACTTCAACGGGAATACATTTCGGTCAGAAATCAAGTTGCTAGTGGAGCAGTTACCATACACCATCGCCAATCGAAGGATGACTTAGTGGCTAGAAACATTGACGAGGATGGCTGGAGGAAGGAGACATGACAACTAGCTTTATTTGCTGGTATCTTCGTAGAGAGATGGAAACCACCAAATCGGGACTTTATAAAGATCAATGTGGATGGAGTGTTCGATCCTATTAGATGAATTGCTGCAGTTAGGGTCATAGCTCGTGATGCTATTGGGTTACCTTTAGGAGGTATGGCTATGGCGTCTCCTTCTAGTGGGGAGGTAGGTCTCGCCAAGATTCACACTATTATTGCTGGATTGAAGTTTGCGGTCGAGAATTAGTGGTCTCAAGTAGTTATTGAATCAGATTCCACCATGGTTGTTAGTAAGCTTAATGGTGGTATGGATGACTAATCTACTTTTGGTTTCCATTTGCAAGAAGTGCGGGATATCTTAGCTACTAATGTCTCTTCTATCTCGGGCTCTTAGTTCTAGTCGTACCTTATTTTTTGACTCGGTTTGTCCCGAGGCTATCCTATCCGATGTATCCAATGACATTGATATTTTTTGACTCGGTTTGTCCCGAGGCTATCCTATCCGATGTATCCAATGACATTGATATTTTGACTCGGTTTGTCCCGAGGCTATCCTATCCGATGTATCCAATGACATTGAATTTAGGTAATATATGTGGGTACTCTTTTCCTCGTATATGATTAGAAGGGATTTTTAATGATGCCCTTCTTTCTGTCAAATAAAAGAATAATTAAAAGATTTATTTAATCCTTACGGTAGGAAAAAGTAAAACAAAAAGATTTTCTTAATCCTTTCAACTAGGAAAAAGTAAAACCTCATAATTTAAAACTAGAATCGCCACAATTCCAATACCATAACCTCATGGTTTCCCCTTTTCAAATTCAATCAACCTCACATCATAAGCTTCTCTTCTCCCTTCTTCAATCGGACTAGGATCAAATGGCTTGGAATAAACAACGAGAAAAAATGCGGTTGTATTGCCAGTCACCACCACCTCTGTTCTCTGGTCCAATGGCTACCTCGTCTTTATTTTGTGTCTATGAATTATGTTATAGCAATAATGTTCAACTTTACCGGTTAGAGTGGAACAAAAAATATGAAGAACCAAAAACTGAGGAGTTGGTCTTTAAAACGTTTTACTAATTCTCACATGCAGGAGTTCCAGGTGCACCCATCACCGCCTCCAGGTGCCGAGGTTGGTGAGCAGCAAATGGGTAGTGGTCCGGTGGAGAATGAGAACAAATGGGTGGGGAAGATGAGCGGGTAGGGAAGAATTTTAAAAATATAAAATATGCACGAACCAAGTGACCTATGTGGTAAAAGAATCATTGTTATTCTTGAGGACCCGAGTTCGAGCACTATAGATGTCAGAGGTGTGAGCATTCAATATTGAAAGGTTGAGAGTTATCTTCGAACATATAATGCCTTGTACTTATCTCAGATTATTCAAAAACAAATATAATCCCAAATCTCCGACGATTATCATATCTCAGTTGACTATTTTATAACTCGAAGTTGACTTGAAATTTTTTCGAGCCGAGTCGAGTCAAATTTTTGAGTTTCTGTTTAAATTTAATTGTAATATTTATACTATTATGATATTATTTGATTCCAATTTAAATAGTTTTTTTATAACCATACACATTACATATATATATTTCTTCATATATTTTTTCATATGTAATATACATATATCATACAAAGTCGAGACTCGACTCAAACTTGAAATCAATCCACTAATTACTAAAAATTTCAAGTTATTCGAGTTGTATTTTACAACTCGATTTGAACTTGAAATTTTTTTGAGTTGAGTTGAGTAGAAAAAATCAATTTTTTAGTCGAATTGAGTTTTGCGTACTCAAATGTTAACGTCTAGTTTAGATTGTCATCAATCTTTTAAAGAAAAAAGACAAATTTGGAGCATATGAATATTCAATTATCTTTTTGTGACTTTTAATAGTTGAGTGACTCAACAAACCAACACTCTCCAGTTAGATGTTCATTTTATAACTTTTGATAGTCAGAAGACTTAACAAAGCAACATCATATAACCAATGGACCATTTGTATACTTTACCCTAAAAAATAATAGAAAATACTATGTCATCATAAAGTCAGGAAAACTGTAGAGTGACTAAAAAGTTTAATGTTTAAAGTTGAGTGATTAAATTGAATTTTTTAAATAAATGAGTAAAATAGGAGTGATAAAAAAATTCAATTGTTAAATTTGTAATTTACTTTTTGTTTACTTTCTTGTAACAAGAAAGTCGACTGGTCGGTTGAATTTAGCTATAATCAAATTATTTTAATTGAAAATGTATTTATTTATTAGGATAAATTACATATTTAAGTCATTCATCTATTTTTATAGATTCATTTTTGTCATTGAATTATTTTTTAAATTATACCTAAGGTTATTTTTAGCTATACACCTAGGCTTGTAAACGAACTGAACGTTTAGTGAACCATTTGACTAAAAGTTCATTTATTTATTAAACAAAGGAACATGAACAAAGTTTTATGTTCGTTTGACTAAATGAATGAACACGAACAAAAGGCTCGTTCGTTCATTTACGTTCGTGAACGTTCGATAATCTATTCATTTATGTTCGTTCATTTATGTTGGTTCGTTTATGTTTATTTGTTTATGTTTTCCAGACCCGTTTGAAATATAAATACTTAATTTTTGACCTTAAGCCCATTAATATTTTAAACTCAATTAGTTTTAAATCCAAATAAAAAAAAATACTCAAATCAATTAAAAAATATAAAATCCTAAAATTATTTGAAAATAAAAAATTCTTCTTAAATATAAACTCAATTAAATTTCTGTTCGTTTATGTTCGTTTACGTTTGTTTATGTTCGTTTTTGTTTATCTACGTTCGTTCATTTTTGTTCATTTATAATTTAAACGAACGAACATGAACGCAGTGGAGGATCCAGAAATTTAAGAATGAGGGTCCAAAATTTAAGATTTCTTTTATTAAAAATAATAGACATGCAAAATTTTTATTTTAATTTATTTTTTCCTTAACACATTAAGTTAATTAATAATTTTTCCAAAATAATGGGATGCACTTGACCCCCACCGGGGCTTAGTGCATCCGCCCCTACACGAACGAACACAAAAAAAAACTAAATTTCTTAATAAACGAAATCGAACAAAAAATTTCGTTCGTTTGTTTGATTAAAGTTAAACGAACGAACATAAACATACCCTCATTCTTGTCCTTTTGGTTCGTTTACAGACCTATATACACCCTTAACAAATAAACAAAATTGTTAATGTGATAATTTTTATTTTTTTAGTAATGACGTAACATTATCTTATGATGATATGTTAATGTTATAATTAAATTTTGACAATAGAGAATTAAAATGGAATCAAAATATAATATTAAATATGTTTTCAAATAAACAGATAGATGAATGATTAAATATTGAGAAAATCGCCTCAGTGACCAAAAAAAAGTTATAATATACGATTTTAACCAACTTTTTTTGGATTTGCCAAAATGACCAACAAAATCGCAACGCGAAATAAAA